ACCCCTTCTTTTTCTCTAGTGGCTTTGCCCTGTGTGTTAGCAGAGGTGTTTGTGGCAGACAAATCAGGCAGTTGATCAAAATTAAGTTTGCTTTGGTCTAACTAACCCTAATCACTTCCCTGATTTGCATCACCATGTAGAGGCACTCTGTGGTGTTGCGCAGTACGAGAAGGGAGGATAGAGATGCGAGTGAATGGTTGGAAACTGCAGGTTGTCTTCTAGTGGCACTTTCAGAATTAAAATGTTTGAACTGCCACATTTAGCTTAGTTTTGTGATGTAGATATCAATCATGTGCCAGCTATGTGTCTGGATGTTCATTTTAGCTTCTTCTCTTTGCTATTCAATAAAAAAAAAAAGCAGAAAGTATATTTTCAGTTATTTTTCCCTTGACGACTCTTGTACAAAAAGAAAAAGGTGGTTTTGCAGACATCCAGGGAATTATTCCTTCCAGGAAAGCTTAGGTTGAGTTTTAGGAACTTTACTGTTGTTGGGTTTTTTTAATTGTGGAAGCTGAATTTTATAAGAACAATTTGGACTAAAGTTCCTTGTTCAGATATCAGTATATCCTTTATAAATATGTAGTGTAAAGCCAGACTCCTTATCCTGTTGGTTTTTATTGCCTCTGTGCTGTGAGAGTAGCCTTCCCTTTCTCTTGCTGCATCACTTAGGGCATAGTTATCTCTCTTGTTTTTGTTTAATGACTCAGTTTGTCTTCCACCTAAGATGTCATGGTTCTGGATGGCTTTTTTAAAGAGCTAAACTGTTGCAACACTAATAGGTGCTACAGGTACTGTTGTAATATCTACTTTGTACTTTTGACTTGGATGTGTAGGTTGGAAGGGCTAGGGGGAAGGTGGAACTGAAAATGATGTTGAAGGTGATTGAATCACAGACTTAATAGCATAGTGCACTTGAACATCACCGCTTTATACTGCCAAGCCACTGTTAATGAACAAGTCTAGATTACCTGATGGATTAACAAGGACTTGTTATATTCCCTTGGTGGAAGCGTAGGACTACTGGATGGAAAACTCGGATAAAATAACAAGCAAGTTTTGGTTTTAGGTGGGTTTTATTTTATGAGTTGGTTTGTGTGGTGGTTTGTTTTTTCCCCTAAGCAGTCTTAAGTGGGCTATTTCTATTAGTCCTTTATTGAAGACACTGAAGTCTTGATGTTTGTACAAACCATCCAAAACAAGTAAGACTGGTAGCTGAAATCCCTCGGAGAGTTGCTGCTAGTAGATGCTTAGAGATCTTTCCCCAACACACCCTTCCAGCTGCCAAAAGACTGTAGTTTAGAGGTGTCTCAGTGAGGGATTCTACTTGGGTTACGTGTTAGAACAGCAACTGATGGATCTATTTCCCCACAGACACCTTCCACCTCATGATTTTGCCTTTTGAATTATTTGGTTTGAACTTGTTTGTACTTTCAGCTTTCGTTACGTCCTATTGCAGTGAATTTCACAATTTAATAATACTCCCCCCCCCATGCAATTAATACCTAAAACTAATGCTGCCTTGTTCCCTCACTGTGTAGCCACTATTTCCTTATACGCTATTCTTTTTATCTTCATCAGCATCAGTAGCCACTAGAAGCCAGTTTGTAACAGACTAGCACAATATGTTTTGGCTTTATAAAATATTGCCTGCATCAGTAATGTCTCCTTGTCTAGTAGGAACATGGGTTGTATCACTGTATCCTGTAAATGCACATTTCAACATAAGCCTTCTTATTTGTAGCTAAGCCATTAGCAGGCCACACCCCTCAAGCGCTGTTGTAACTAAAATCCATGTGTGTAAATTTTTGTAGAGTATTTTTCCAGTTTCCTACCCTGTGTAACTTAGGACAGTAATCTATAGAAATAATATACAAGACTGCTACACCAGGTGTGACGGTGATGAGGACACTGCCTGCACATTTCATGTTCTCTGGAGGGTTGAAATGTCTTTTTTTGTTGTGACTGCAGGATCGGGGCGGGGGGGGGTGTTGTTGTTTTGAGGTTGTTTTTCTTTGGTAATAGTTAGAAAATATTTAGGAATTAAAAGTTTTGCTGACTTTAAGTATGAACGGTGTGTATTTGTTGCATTAGAATGTAAAAGGAGCACTTCTTAGGTGAGGATTTCCTTTTTATCCCCACCATTTGACAGTGAACTGTTTTGCTGTACTTCCAGCTGGCTTCTCTGAAGTAGCCAGAGTTACTTCATTAGGTTTTGCACGTGAATCTCTCGTTACCCCTTCCCATTCTGGGGAAAACTGACATGTTAACTTTTTCCTTGCATCAACACTAGGAAGAAAACTGCGTAAACATAATTCTGTACCTTTTTAAAAGGAGAAAAGAAACTCTGATCCTGCTGCTTTCATGGTTGCTCATGGAGGGCCCTACCTTTGGTAATCCTTTGAGCTCAGCCACAGGTGTCTCTAAAATACCATGGGAAGCTAGAATTTCAGGACAGAAGTTCATGCTAACAGTAATTTATTACTTTGTATTGAATTCATATTCATGAAGTAGTACAATTGTACATTGTGCTTTGTGCTGAACAGAAGTGAGGGAAATGATCCATGTTTTGGGGGAAAGAGGAAGAGAATCCAGTAAAAATGTCTCTGTTCTGGATCTGCTTCAGAGAGGGGCCATGTAAACTAGGGCAAAATTAGTAGCTGTGGATTGAGGAAGCAAGATTATGACTAAGTGTGTTGAGTAATTAAGGGGGGTTGAATCTATAAAGACTGCAAAAGCTTGGACTGTTGAACTCTCTGGACTTGAGAGCTTTGCTTGAAATAAGTGGTAAGGGATCTCCTTGGTATGTGTAGTCTGCAGCTGTCCATGCTCTTTTGTGGGGTGGAATCACAGGAGCAGAAGAATAAGGACTGCTGTTCAACCTGCACTTTTTCCTGAAGGAGAGGCATGCCACACATACCTGTCAAACATAATATGCACATACTTTTCTGACACCCTCTGGTTCAGTAGCTGACCAGACCTGCTGTACCAAATCTGCATGTGACAAGTTTCTGGGGCTCTATCATCTTTCAGACATCCTTTTTAATTGAAGCAGAGAAGTGTTCCCCCTCCCTCCGTTTCCCCCAGGTTTGTGTTCTCTTCTAGTTCCGTGAGAATAGCATCTAGCTCTGGCCAAATAATACATTTGCTTGGACAGGATATAACTGGGCAGAGATAATAAACACCTCATCAGTGAAAAGCTGATGATTATTGGGAGCCTCCTGACCTTTCTGCTGAGTCTGTCAGCCATGTCAGGATTCTCAAATGCTTCCACTTCTCTAATTTGCAAATTACTTGGGTCCAGTGTGGGAAGCCGGCAGGGGACATCCCTGGATGGAGAGCCAGGCATGTGAGAAGGCGGAGGAGATGGCAGCTGTAGCTGTATTGAGAGAGTGGATAAACAGAGAATTCATGGTTATTAGGAACTTTGGAAACCTCTGTGCACCTTCAGTGATTTGGAAAACTATATTTTACCAATTAAAACATTAGAGCATTCATTTAATCTGCTAAATGCATAGTTAATCACAAGTGACCTTTGGTTCTTACCACTTTGGGTTAAATTTGAACTGACAGCCAAGGGATGAAATGCTCCAGATTGTGTTTCTAAGCTCTCTCAGACACCTGTTCTGTTCTTGCTAGGATCTTCTTCCCTTCTCCGCAACTGCGGGGATACAGATGCATCCGCTACAGGTGTTAATGGACACCAGTGATCCTTATTGAGAGGAGGATGAAAGCTCTCCCCCTCTTTCCAGATAGTCAAGGAGCAGAGTGTTTTAGTTTTGGAGTTGGGGGGACTGTTGCTTTGGTTTGTCCCAGCAGGAGCTAATGCAAACGGGCTTGGATCAGCAGTCTTAATGATTTCACCTGCACTGTAACTTGCAAGTCAACAAAAGCCATTTCTTTGTCAAAAAGATGTGATGAGAGGTTTGAGTTGAAACTGCTTTATCTATTTATTTTTACATTTAATGTGTTAAACTTGTTTGGAGGTAAGGTAAATGTAGACGATGTTACCTTGAACAAGAATTCTTGCCTCATATTGTGTGGGTTATGGAAACTTTCATAAAGTGACTGCAGTAACCAGCATGCAAGCTTTCTGTTTTGGTTAGAATCGAGGCTGTATTTTATGGAGCTTGCATTTCAAAAGTTTGTGATAATACCAAGAATACAGCATAGAACACTACAGCTAATGTTAAAAAAAAAGTGCCATAACAAGTTTCTGTTTCTGAGTGGTGTTTTAATTATGGAAATGATCCAGTTAAATAGGAAACTGCCCACGCTCTGGCATTTGACTTAATTGGTGATGTGCCCCACGCTGGGGCCAGGGGGAGGTGTTGAATGTAGAGTGAGTAAGGAATTTGACTAGCACTGAATGCAGTTTACTTTTGTCTGTAATATGGAGAACCCGATGATTTTAAAGCAAACTAAAATCGATTTCAGATATAGGTAGATAGTTGCATAAGGAGGGGAGCCTAATGCAAAAAAACCAGTGGTCCTGGACAGAATTACCAGGTGTGGCCTAGTTTACTTGCCAAAATTCAGGGATTAGCATGATAAGTTTTGATAGATCTCAAGCTATCTTTTCGTCACAGTAAGGACCCCTCATAAAACACTGCAGATCACCTTTGCACTCCACAGTAGTAATATTGGTGGTAAAATTGGAAATGTCTTTAAAATACTACTTTAAACGACTACAGTGAAACCGGTAGTTTCTCCTAGCCTTTCTGCTCATAATGCTTTGTTCATAGGTCTGTGTCAGGAGCTGCCTTGTTTGAGAAAACTTTATTGTATGGAGAATAACAGGTAATTCTGAAAAAGCCAGTATAGGTACTGTGGTAGCTTTAGTATATGGATTATATCACAAGTAAAATGATCTTACCTTCAACAGGGTCCTAACCATGCTTTTATGTTCTGAAATACCTGGGCAGCGGCTGACAGCTCTCTGTTTTGGAAAGGTGGAGAGCCAGAACGGGGCCATTGCCTCCCTGCAGAACATCTGACCAAGCATGCCTGCGCCAGGAGAGGCCCTCGAGCTCGCTGTTCCCCCGTGTGGCTCCATCCGTGAACCCAGGGCAGCAGTGGGCTGCTCCTGTTGTCCACAGGCTCTGTCCTTCTTCATTAGAGGAGAGAAACTTTTTCAAGAGATGGCTAAGAAGTCACTCCCTGGTTTAACCCCATCCCCCAACACAAAATTCCTTTGTTTAACTGGACTAACAAGGGAGGAGAAACCTGAATAACTCGACTAATTCCATTGGTAAACATCAAACGTATTGCTGTCATCACTTGATCTGGATTTCTATAGTGTGATCTTTGCGGCGGTTATCGGATACCAGTGTGTTAGATGTGCATTGGCATGAAAATATCTATTCACCCTCTTCCACCTGCTGAAGGCTTCCAATGTGGTTGGTGATTACAATTCTTCTTAGTTTCTTTGGATTAAGGGGAAAGATGGCTTTGCCAGTTTTGAAGAGTTTTCTGAGTTTTCTAGATTTCTATGTACATACAAATCCAGACTTCTCACCTATACCTGGAGTCCCTAATTCTTTAACCGTCTTTTGCTTCAAAGCTGGGGGAGCAGCGGACCATTTGACTTTAAATGGTGGAATGTTGTATTAATGAAATCATCCAAATACTGGTTAGCTGGAAAATCATAAATTTGCTGACAATACTGTTTCCATATTAAAAGCACAAAACTAAGCAATAACACAAAAGTAAGCAATAACATAGTGTATCAGCCAGCCTTGAATACGTAAGGAAGTCTTAAGTAACAGCAAAAAAGCTGTTCAGAACTGAACGTCCCTTAAGCGTGCTGGTTCTTGGGAAGGATGTGTTTCGTGATCAGTCTAACTGGAGGCATAACTTTTTTTCTAACTCAAGTCAGTGAGTATACCAATGATGAGAAAATGGAATGTCTGGAGGAGCAGCTCACCTCAACTGCATTCTTCTTGCTGTCTGCTCCTGTCCTTGCCCATGAACTGATTGGCAACTGTCATTTTTCCTTTTTCCCCAGCAGTGACACTGGGTTTATATGAGTGTGGACAAATCTCAGCTCGCTGAGATTTGATCTGTTGCCTAAGTCTGGTTAATAGACTTTACCAAAGTAGATAATAGACATAATCATGTTGGTCTCTGTGCTGCAGGAGAGGAATTGCAGAGGTGTAGGGCCACAGCAGCAGTCCTTTTCCTGGGAGTGGGAAAGGATTCAGCTCTGTGGCTGCCTGTGGCTGTTCACTTCTTTCACCTGCAAGTTCCATTTCTAGCATTTATACCTAACTTTGACTCTCTTTTCCTGAACAGCGCTTCTAAATGTTAAGGATACTGCTGGAAACTAGTCGAGACAAAAATGTTACCTGTACTTTGTTCAAAAGGTGTTATAAATAATTTTTACTAAAAACTAATTCCTAGACAGACATACTGACTGTGCGTATGGAAATACTGCTTTTGAAAGGTACTACTGTAGGACACAGTTCCTTTGAACCTAAGACTGGTGTTAACGTAACTGATTCACAGCTTGTTTTGAAACTCTGATAGTCCATGTTAAGTAGATAGTTGTTCCTTCATATTTAGTGAATGACTTAATTTCTTCAAACCCCAGTCCAAAGTGTCTATGTAGTCAATTTTTGTATGAAAAAAAATTTCCCTAAAAGCTGAAGTCTTTATTTAGGAAAATGTAATGGGGTTTTATATGTATATATATATGTATAAGTCTGAGCAAATCATCTAAGCGTCTATCATGTTAACTGCTGAGAACTTTAGTAAGTGCCTTGCTACTACTTTTTTTTTTAAAGATTAATTTTACTTTCATAACATTTTTCAGCACAAAGAATACAAATAATTATAGAAATGCTGTGGGTTTTAGGTGGAAAAATGAGTCAATTGATGCAGAAGAGAGGTTAACTTTTTTATTTTTTTAATTTTTTTTAAATAAATAGAAGGACCTGTGTTTCATTGGTGTATCTGGAGTAGTTCATTATAGTAGTTACTACAATTCATGTAGAAACTAGCACAAGGAATTTAGTTTGTCCATTAACTAAGTAACAAATAGCACAATGTACTATAGTTTTGTGCTGAACAATATTTTACCTTTAATGAAAGAGATTATCAGCTAAGAAATTGGGAACTGCCTAGTGACCTTTTATGTAAATCTCTTTCAGGCACCTTCTTGGGCATACATCCTGGGAGCATTAGGACTTTTTATCTACCAGTCCCTGGATGCCATTGATGGGAAGCAAGCCAGAAGAACAAACAGTAGTTCTCCTCTAGGAGAACTCTTTGATCATGGTTGCGACTCTATTTCCACAGGTAGACTTAACCTACTGTTACCCATCTGAGTTTTAAGAGTTACCTGTTTTCAAGAGGAGCTGATTAATCACATACTTGTTGAAGTTGGAAAGGGACCCCGGAGATCATCTAGTCCAACCCCCTGCTCAGAGCAGGGTCAGCATGTTCCCTTCTTTTAGGACGACTTCACCATCTCCTGGTCTCTGCAGCCAAGGCTGTCCCTGACCAGGATCAGGGAGGATATTTCAGAAATACCTTTGACAGATGTTAGGTAACATGCGTGCTGCTCTTACTGTGCATCTTCATGTACAGTGTTCTTCGAACGAGCTAGATGGTGAACAAAGAATTCCATAAGAGCATGCTTAGAGATTCTTTACTATACATAGCCTGTGTTTTCCAGTGGGGTACAGGTGATACCTAATAAAGGATTTTAAGGACCTAAAAGACTGACGTTGGCATGTGAAACCAAGGATTCTGCTTTAGGAGTGAAGTGCCAAAACACCAGTTTGGTAATAGGGCATCCAGCCTGGCACTTAGGAGAAGGATAATTTGTATTCTTTAGAAGAATGAGTTTAAAAAAAGTTGACTTGGAACCCTTAAAAGGTAAGCCTTGCTCAGTTTTACTTTCCTGAACTTAGCTGCTGTTGGTGGCAATGCTTGTATGTCTATAAAAGCTTAATGGCTGAAACATTTGATATGTTCTTCATGGCTCACTTCCTAGAGAAGGGACAATGACCACTGTAGGCTAGGAGGCGGGGCCCTCGCTTGGGAGGAGTCCTGTGTTTTGGTGTCTCCTGCCAGGACTGTCTCTGAGGTTAGCTACTCAGTAAAGTATCAGTCATGCCATTACTTTGTTATAGTGATGTAAAATGCCTTGTGTTTTTTGGTTTTTTTTTTTTAATTAACTGCAAGCAAAAAGGGCATCCGACTAACATGTTCATTTCTGCTTTTCAGTTTTTGTTGTCCTTGGATCCTGCATAGCAATCCGACTAGGAACAAATCCTGACTGGTTGTTTTTCTGTTGTTTTGTGGGACTGTTCATGTTCTATTCTGCTCACTGGCAGACATATGTATCAGGCATTCTAAGGTTTGGAAAGTAAGTAGGTGTCTTTAGAAGTACATGTGGCTCAATGTCTGAGACTACTCCGTTTCTTCTTGGTTTTTTTCCCTGCTTTCTTTTCCTCTCACCTTCTTCCTCATCTCCCTTCCACCCTAGCAGACTTGTGTTTTACCTGGCAAGAACTTTAAAACTCTGCATAGTACTGAGCAGAGGACTTGTTCTTTTAGCAGCTGATTTTAGCTGTATATGCTTTGTTTGCATGCGTTTGGCTCTTTTGTCTGTGGATTTGTTCTCAGAACCCATACAAGCACCATGCAGGCTCAGGCCAGAGAGGTCTTGCCTGCAGTATAAATAAGTGCTCTGTGTAGGAGTAGGGATACAGTACCTCCCTTCATAACCTCCCAGCCACAGAACACTCTTAGCCCAGGGGACTGTGAAGCACATGCATTTTTAGAGAAGTTCCCCTGCTAATGGGTTTCCCTTCCATAGACATCTTCAGTCTTCATTTGAACAAACTCTCTGCATCCATTGCATCCTTTGGCAAGGAGTTCCACAGAGCTATGGCAGTGCTTGGAGAGTTACCCCAGGTTTATGTAGGGGCTTTGCTTTTAATCTGGCTCATACTGGCTTTGATGTCCTTTAGGTTTTGTGTTAGATCACAGTTCTAGAGATTGCTGTGATGCTGTTCATGACAGTAGAAATTTCTTCTGTTCTCACTGCAGTGTAGGAAAAAGAGTCATGGCATTCATGTAGAAGATAACAATTTCCATTTCACTAGTAATGGCGTGGGGATTGCTGCACCCTCCCACAGCTGTGGTGGTGTCGTGGCTTTTTTCTGGTTTTAAGCAGAGCTGCACTTTAGTAATGACTTTTGAAAAGAGGAAAAGATCAGAGAATTCCGCAGCAGCAAAATTGGAACTGTGTGATAGATGAAGGCTATCCTTCTGCTACTCCTAGTCACTTGCTAAGTCACCTGCTTATAGCCCTACTTAGCTCTGGCCTGTAAGAAACACCTTAGCAAATCTGAGCATCGCTGGGTGCACAGGCTAGTGATCAGCTATCCTTGCACACTGTTGGAAGTCTGTACCAAAACAAAGTGGTCTCTGTAGTAGTGCTGAGAGCTCTTTTTTTATTTCCTGATAAAGCATTTTACCACACAAACTATAACTCTTCTACCTGCCTACCCCTCCTGCTTTTTTTTTTAAGGAGATCTTGTGCTGCAAACAAAAATAGATGCTTTAGAGTGATGGCTGCAATAGGATAATTTCCGTACATGACAGTGGACTACACTGAAGGGAGATGGGCTATGCTATGAGCTCTGGGGTTCTGCATACATGATTACTTTTCTGTGCCTTTGCATAAAATTGAGAATCATTTCCCTCCATCAAGAAGGCACTGAAACTCCTATATCACATAAAAATTTCTTCGTTAAAAACTTAATGGCTTCTACATAAATATAGTGATAGTGCATAGTACAAGCAGTTCAGAATGGCCTGGTGTTCCATGCTTTCATTTGAAGTTAAGTAGACACAAATTTTTTCTGAAATAGCTTCTTTCTGTTTAGTGAGAACAGGTCAGAGTTCTTTTGAGGCTCGGAATTTAATTCTCTTCAGCAGAGATGAGAGTCTAAATGGAGGCATTAGTTTATTGCTCTAAATATGATAATACATAACAACATGGACGGAAGCTTTTACCGATGCTGTTCCTGAATTAGCAGCACTTGATTTTTGAAGTCAAATGACAGCTGAGGGAGGCCTAGTGCTGATGGCCAGGAAGGACCAGAGCAGCTGGGTACTGTCCCGCTGTCAGGTTATGTAGAATACTGCACAGTGTCTGATTAAAATCTTTGGACTCTGATTTGGGCTGTGTTGCAACCAACAGTCTGAGCCTCTGTAAAATTAAGTACCAAACTTTGGCACATATAATGACTCAACTTCAAGTTCGAGTCTCTGTCTGCCAACAGCAAATGCAGTACAGCTTAGAAATCTAGGTTTTAATAGTACAGAGTGCAAACTCTGAACACTTGCTTATGGGTGATTTGTGTGACGTAACCGACAAGCTCGGTGTGCAGCTACAGCAATGACTGGGCAGATGTGATGCTTCATTGCTGGCAGAGGGAAAAGCCTGCTCCCAGCAGTGCTGTCTGGTTTCCCCCTGCACAGACTCTGTCACTTCAAGACAATTCTTGAAAACGTACATAAAAACGTACACAAGGCTAGCAAGTTGAACTGGTTCACCATACAGTCTGATGAGTAGAAGTGAGGGAGCACAACAGCGTAGGAAGGAGAGGACTACCCATTCCGACGGCTTTCAGCAGCGACGAGGACCTCAGCTTAGCATCTAGTTGCAGCTTAAATTTTGGCTCTTCTAAGACTAAGAGTCTGAAGTTTGTGGTGAAACTTAGTGTATTTTATCACTGTCTTTCCAATGAAAGAAGAGAGTTTAATGTTACTGTGATTATCAAGATCAGATAAATGTTTTCCATTAGCCAAGAGTTGATTCCTATCTCCCTTTAAAAAGACAGTTTCCTGTGCAGACAGTTCATGTGCTAAGCAAGTAATGATACATGTTAACTTTGGTCATAATACCTTAAAACAGCAAATTCACTCTAACTGCTTAAAGAAATGTTGCATTTTAAACATCCGTTGTCACTGCTTCAGTACAAAGATCCGGTACCTGTCTCAAAACCTTTGGTGGCATAAAAGGTACCTTAGATGTGCACACTTACTTATTTTAAAGCTTTATTCAAAGTATTGATTCTTTCTCTTGAGCCTCTGCTTAACTTTTTTTTTTAATATATTCAGATCTTCTCAAAACATTTCAGCAATCAAATACAGTAATAAAGAGTTGGCTATCTCATCTTGAGAACCAAAAAGGTAGAATCCAGAGCCTAGACTTTATGGGGCATACAAGGCCCCCTATTTTAAGAATGTTTTTATGGAAAAAAGCAAGATATCAATTACACATGCTCTGAAACAGGACAGATGCTTAGCCATCCGCTGACTCAGTCCTCAAAATACTGCCCTTACATTTTGCAGGCTGTATCTGTCAAGTTTTCATGATATGATGGCTTAAAGAAATCCCTTCTGTCCCAGCCTGCATGGTCAGTACTTCTATATAATATGCTTTTAATGGAAATGTTTGATTGCATTTACTATGAGCTTGCCTTAAAGTTTGTTTTGATTTTTGCACAGCAACAAGTCTGTAAATTTATACAAAATTCTCAAATAGCCAACAATGTATTCATTAAAGATTGACCCCCATTAAAATTATATGTAGCTTGTTTTAGATAAGGAGTATAGGTTTATTTTTAAATCTGAACCAAAGATGTGTGCCTCCATATAGAGTACCTTTCTCAGTCAAGGAAAATCATATTCGATATATATTAATTTAAGTACTTTAAAGGAGATAATTGAAAGTCACTGATTTTTTTTATTTCCCCACTCGCCCGGCTGACACTTCCAGCAAAAAGAGCTTTTCTTTAACTAAATCTCCCTTTTTTTCCCTTCATAGAGTTGATGTAACTGAAGTTCAGATTGCCATAACAGTGCTGCTCTTGATATCTGCATGTGGTGGATCAGCAATATGGGACTATAAGGTAAGTGTATTAAGTATTCGGAGTTCCGGTTGAGTATTCAGTTCCTGTTGAGCGTTCATAGTTCCTATGGTATTTGAAGCTATCCTGAGCATCAACACCTACTAGTTGCCTGATGTTCTGTTTTAGCTTATCATACAAACATAGATTATTTTTATGTTGTAGTTAACTTAGATATAACAGTGCGACTTCCTGTGCACAAATTTAGAGCTATGTAGAGGAAAAAAGACCCCATCTGCCACATATAAACTTCTGATCTGGAGCTAATACTCTGCAGATACTTAAGCTTTAACAAATAGTTTTTGTTCTAGTTTTATTTCTTTTGTATATTTTATTGTAAGACTTACATTTGTGTTCAGTGAAATTATTTATGGGATACTTTATTTTAAAATGTAAAGATTAAATGCTTCACTTTAACAAAACCATGGGATGAAGTTAGGGGTTTTTTGGTTAAGAAATCCATATTTACATGCCAACTGTTAAAAATCAGTACATCTCCATTATGTCAGAGCTGACATAAATGTAAATATCTGTATCTAAAGAATGTTTTCCATCCAACAGCATTTCCCCATCTCTGGCTTTTACTCTGATCTTTAAAGATGCACTTTAGTGGACGGGATCAGAAGAATGTTAGACTAACATCTTCATCCTTTACTCAGAAATGTATAGTTCTGCTTGGTTACAGCACATGGAAGAGCTGAGACCATTCCATGCTATTGATAACCAATGCAAATTAATCTAAATATACACCTCCATGTAATTTAAATTCATGAGCAATTAAGAAATGTTTAGCTAAACTTTGTTTCCTTTTCCCATCCTGCAAGATGTTTTTGTTCTATTTTCAAACAGCTTATTTTCATGTTGGAAAATAAAGTGCATTAGACTTCAATTATGATTGATTTTTTCTTCAGTATTAAAATCTGTGGTAGTAATGCTGTATCTCAAATCAATCTATATTCAAAAATATAGTCAATGGTTTCAATTTATTACTACTACTTTTTTTTTTTAAATCCTCTGCTGCCTTCGGAAGTTCCCTTGAAACTGCAATTGATTCAGAAAGGTAACTGTTTAATTAAAATTTGTATCTGGAGACTATTCTAAATGCAAAGATACGGCATAACATAACACGTACCAAAACACAAAGCAGGCAGATGGTGTTTGTGTTTCCTGTGGTTCGCTATTGTGTTACCTAGTGAAAGAGAAGGAACTGTCCTCCCCTTTCCCATGCCTTGGTGATGCAGTAGTCCGTGTCAAGTTTTTTGCTTACGTAGTAAAAATATTCGAAGCACATCATAAAGACAAACACAGTAAGATCAGCTGAATTTCAGGACCAGAACTCAGTACTCAAAAGTCAAGTTTAAACATTACAAAAGAAATTCGTTGTCTCCTTAGGAAACAAATTCCAAACACTGTACTCCTGAGCTTGTTCTTGGGACAGCGAGAGTTCAAATAAAACAACTGCTTAGTAGGCATCAGTAGCTTTTTTTAATCACTTTTTTTAAAAAAAAAGTATTATTCTTAACTTTTAATATCTTTCTCTTGTTTTTCCTGCTAAGGTCCCTGTGGTGGGCTTAGAACTCAAGTTCATTGCAGTTTTGGGCATATTGTGTGGAACGGCACTTTCTTTTTTCAATTACTTCCGTGTCATCTTTGGTGGAGGGGTTGGAAAGAATGGATCTACAATAGCAGTAAGTTGCTTTAAAAACATGAATGAGGTTTGAATAATTTAGGTCCATAATTTATTGGATTTCAGATGATCATAAGGGTTTTATCTGTTTAAGCATTTAAGCAGACAAGCATATGAGTGTTGGATGGCTAAAGCAAAGACTTTGTTATCTACCTTTTCTCTCCCTGTTACTGAATTTCTTCTATGAGAGAAACCAGCAATGAATTTTCTTACAAAATTTATTAGTGGTCACTGCAAAGGATATGAGTAGCATTGGCATAATGCTAACGGACTTTCCCTGAGTTTTGACAACTCTGGTTTTGTTTAATGGGATTTGCAATATGTATAAAATCTGGACCTTACTGTGTGACAACTGAAGCCCAAGACAAATTTTCTGTCGATTTGTATTTCAGGGAACAAGTGTTCTTTCACCAGGCCTGCACATTGGACTACTTATCGTATTAGCTGTTATGATCTATAAAAAGTCTACAACTCAGCTGTTTGAAAAACATTCTTGCCTGTATGTCTTGACATTTGGATTTGTGAATGCTAAAATCTCACAGAAGTTGGTGGTAAGGAATCTTGTTTCAGTCCTAAACCTCCTAAAACTAAACTGGTTCTTGGCTTAACGCTTGCTGGATCAGCAGGCACTGCAAGTTTTACTGTTCTGCTCTGCCAGTTTCATGATGGCCAAGACACTGAACTAGACTCAGGCTCCTACAGAGAGATTATATATGACACCGATGCAAACACATAGTTATTGTTGAATGTATTGGTTAGAACTCTGTTTAACTTAGTCCCAGAAATACACTGTCTGTCTGTAACATCATAACTGTGGTCCCTCAAGCCCTACTAATGGTGCTGTGACTTCAGATTTATTTATCTGAAATAGGAATTTACTTTAATTGTTAAAATGAAGAGATGAACTTTTCTATCTTTATCTCTTTTGTAATTAAAAACCTCATCAATGGATTAAAAAAAAATAAAATCTGCCTTAACTACATATTTGCTAACAACAGTAATCCAGCCAGCTGGTTTTTACCAGTAATCTTTCTTCTTCTCTTGGTCATCCTGTAAAGTGTCTCTGTGTGTACATCACTAGCTGTACTAAACAGGGAAAACAAGTCTTGTCACCTAGGCAGAAGCCTAGTTTCTAGTTAGCTTTTGGCTAAGTAAAGCCAAAATTTTCAAGTTAAGACTTGTAAACAACATTTCAAGTGAATAGTAAAATTCATTTTCAGTAATACATTTGCATACTCTTACCCTTCAAATACAGCACTGAAAAAATGGGGAACCCGTGCAAATAGCTAAAATGCACTGGTATTGATGTAACATGTTACGAAAGAACATCGAAGGACATGTACATGTTTCTTATGTAATAAAGTCAAACAATAAGAGCTATTTGAATTATCAGTTGGTATCACTGATTAAAGTGCTATATATTGATTAACCAGGAAAGGGGTTACTTGGTCCTTGGGAAAGAAACCGTCAGGGAGCAGCAGGCCCTGAAGCATTTATGAAGCCCTTGCCCTGCCTGCTGATTGCTTCCCAAGAACTGGGGACAGCATGTCATGCCCTTACTATAACTAAGGTGGAGGCTTTCTGGTAGTTACAGTGACCTTGCGGTGATGCATTTTTGTCTCTCTCTTTTTTTAACATAGGTGGCTCACATGACAAAAAGTGAAATCTGTCTTCAGGACACTGCATTTATTGGGCCAGGACTTCTGTTTTTGGACCAGTACTTCAACAGTTTCATTGATGAATATATTGTTCTGTGGATAGCATTGGTAAGCATTTTGTTTTATAGTTTTCATTTGGAGTGTACTTAAAGGAATGGATTGAGAACTGTCCCTGTCATTCTGCTCTGCCACTTCTGACTTGCTCAGATTTCAGTTGTCACTGCAGAGGGTATGCCAGGACACCATGTAAACATGTATTTTGAGAGCTGTCTGGCTTTCTTTCCTTGGAGCAGAGATGGGACAGTAAACTTTCAGATCTTTCTTGCTTAGGTCAGGTGATTTGATTATTCTGCTAACTGCAGACTAACAACCTTTCTTTATCAGACTTTGTAAGTAAGTGTTTAATGCTGTTTGGGTTTTGGGTGTATTTTTTCTTCTAAAATAGACCACTCTATATGTTAATGTATTGTTAAACTTGTCACTTGTGTGTAGATGGATTATAGATGAATTTATAGTAGGGACAATTTAAAAACTTTTTTTTTAATCTGTTCTGTTTTGTTCTTTTGAAGTTCATATCCTTGTTTGATATGCTGAGATATGCCACTGGTGTATGCCTACAGATTGCTGCTCATCTTCATATACATGTCTTCAGAATTTCATCTCATCAAGCTCCTGAACAGGTTCAAAACCACAATGACTGATTAAATAGGTCAAGGATGAAAGGAGAAGCAGTTAGGTGAATGTTGAATGAAGCAGCCTCTTTTTTGGGAAGACAGATTAAGCTTTTCAAGAAGATAGTTTTATGAGAAAGCTCACTCTATCCCAGATATTACCAGATGTTAGAATTACAAAATATAAAGTCCTGCAGATTCTACTGCGATCAGTACTTTTGAACCAGGATGTATTTCCCCCTGTGTTCTAGACATTGCAGCTGTTATTTCATATCATGAATACCATATTTGAAACTTTTGCCATTTCCTGTTAGATAACCTTAATTCTGTACTTCTGGTCTGGTGAAGATAGACTGCAAACCACGGTCTACCAACCAGAATTCAAAGAGGAATTTTGCTTTTCCCTAGACCAAGTCGACTAATCTTCTAGCATTAGTTTCTAAAGTAAGTTGTCTTGGAACTACTGTGACGTGGTAGGCAAAGGTATCAATGAATATAGTACTACATTATTAAACTGGTAAAATGATGCATCTATGAGGTAAAACTACTCATTGGTCTCTGTTTTGGTATTTCTAAAGAATAAGCTACTGGATCAGTAGGACGAAGAAGGTATAGCTCAGGAAAACTTTCTCCTATTTCAAAATACTGTTATGAGTGCCTTTAGGATTCATGCATTCTGTAGTACCTCAGTATAAACCTACTGTTACTAAATACAATTGTAGCTTGTATTTTCTTTCAAGGCCAGTTTCTGGTTTTGTGGTCATATGGTTTGCCTCATTATCTAGACTACCAGTAGTTGTGTACTTTGAGGTCACTAACTTTATCTACCCTGACTTGTATCTGTGAAACTGCACAAGTTCATTGATAAACTTAACTGACTGTGACTGTTTGACTGTGACAATACAATCCACCCATATGTAATTCCCTCTGAAGTGTGTTTACTATCACTGTGTTCATCTACCTTACAATCTGTCGAATTTGTCTTTGAACTGTTGCTGTACTTTATCCAAACAAAACTGTACAGAACTAGTAAAACGCTCCAAAACAGAAAGTCAGGCCCACTATCAGCCTTTCTCTTTAAGAACAGACCCACTGGCTGACATAATATGCCTACCTAAAGGGCTGCTGTTGTCATGAAAGAAAAGCTGAATAAAAGAAGTAGCATATTATCTGTATGAGAAAATCATGACTTGTACACAAACCCTGTAAGTTTAAGCTCCTTTGAAGAGCTACTATTTGAATATGGTTTTTGTAAAAAGCTGTTGAATATAAGTGTCAGTTAGTGCTTTCAGTTGCTGATATGTAGCTGAGCTGTGACTTTATAAAGCCCTTCCTGAACTGTACAATAAAGAATGCTATTGTTTGCTTTAAAAATATTACCACTGCAGCCTCCTAGCTGCACATTAATTCAAAAGAACTTTCTGAGGTGTTCAAGGAAATTTAAAAGTGGTGTATTGTCTTCTAAATTTGGGTGAAATACACTATATACACTTGAGGTATAACTGTAACAGTTACAGCCAAAGGATGAGCACTCTAAGTGATAAATATCAATTCCAAATTAATCCTACTCCTCCTGTTTGAGGCTGGGAAAGATAGAGCATCTGCACGTGAACTTAGCCAGAACCCAAGCCATGGGCAAATAGAACAGAAGATGGTAAAGACCATTTCAGTTTGTCTGAATACTGTGAATAAATTAACCACCTGATGAAAAGACAGAGGCAACTATTTTAGGAGAAGGTTGTTTCCCCAAAATGCTTAAAAATGTGTCACGTAGTAGTAAGCATAAATAGTTTTAAGGAGCTGATTGAGGTATGTGGAAGATAGGAAGCTAATGCAGAAATCATTCAGAAAACCAGAAACATGAGGCAATACTAACAAATAACCTACTGCTGAAGATAGGAAGCAAAAACTGTTGACTGCATTACGTAGCATCATCTAATCATGCTTAGAGGGCTGAAACTCAGCAGCACAGTTACAAATTGGCATAGTTACCCATTACCCACTAGAGGCCTATATTGCCTCATGCATCATTCTAGCAATGTAACTTCTGTGTTTGCTCCTTCCCCAAGTCCTAGCAGACGCAGAACAAAGAGCTCCATAGTGGTTGCTTGTTCAACTTCAGTTGCAACCTAGTAGCTGAAGTTTTTGCAAGTTACAGATCGCTAATCTGGCTCCCAGAACTGGAGAACCATCATCAAATGACTTGATGCTGAACTAAAAATGCTAGTAAGCTGAGGAGAAGAATCTGTACAGACTGGTTTTGAAATATATTGTTATGAAACAGCACATTTGTGCTTGGGGATACATGGATGGTTTTTGGTTTATCTACAGTTGTATTCAGTCTAGGCATTGAATATGTTAGGAACTACCGAATTTGTAAAAGTGGATATTCAGGCGTAATGGTTTTCTGTAAAAACAAACTGCATGCAAGCTAAGCCAATTATTTAATTTATACTGATTTACTGTAATGAGATACATGAAAGATAAATGCTTTATCCTTAAAACTTGGGCCTCCCTAAATTGCTAGTCATTTGGAATTGCAAAAAGCAATATTCCATCTCAAAGGCTTGTAATAGCTTGTACTAAATAAATGAGCTGGATTACTTCTAGCAGTGGTTGTGCAAGAGCTATATACCACAAAATGCATAATGTTTGGTTATGCTTACTTGAGCAGTTGTCATATAAAGCTGTGATACTTAGCTCATCATTCAACTAAAGAAACCTGCTTTTTGGACAAACTACAGCCGTTCATAAATCTCTTACTAATAAAAAGATATTACAGTGCCTAGCATAACAAAAGACTTAACAAAATTTACTTTAATTTACTACAATACATATTATTAAACAATCTTGCATGAGCCATCTCGTACTCTGTCAGCTTTCATAACTGCTGCTATGTCTGCAGACTAAATGTTGAAACTATGAAAATTTTACAGTCTGCAGCTTGTCAAAAATGCTTCCACCTGTACAATGTACCTGAAGGCCTAAAGTTAGTATGTAAAATCTGGGTAATACATTATTCATTAATTCTGCCCATTGTTACAATTTGGCACTATAAAAATTGAAACAATTTAAACAATCCAGTGCTACTGAAAATGAATGTTAAGTAGTTAAAGATAAATTGGACAGTAAATGGTTTGGGGTCCATACCCTTCTCCCCCTTCCCTCCCCCAGTAATAAATTTACTAATATACATTCTTAAATCATTATCAGACACAAGCATAATGAAAGCATTTAATAGGAACTTTGAAACATTTAAATCTTAACATACTTCTCTATGGCTAATGCCTATACTTGTATCATGTTACTTAGGTACAAGTTGTTTCTCCATTGAGCCATCAGAATAACATGGACTGAAGAGACTTGCGAACAGTTGCCATCTCCTGCTGTTGCTGTTACGAGAAAAGGAGATAATACTGAACAAATGCCCTATCAATATGATTCCTTTGAGCTAATTAAATGAATGTCAAATGACTTTTTTTTAGAATGTTCTATTTTTGCATTTAACTGACTTCTTCATAGATCTGATACTTACAGTGTCCATCATAATCTTCTTCTGCAACATAGCCATTTCTTTGCGAAGTTCACTTTGTGCACCAGCTAGAAGATTTTCATTGCTCTTCTCCAGCTCTTCCATGCTCTGAAGTTAAGGATAATCTTAATTCAGAACTGTTCAATGTCAAAGGGTTAATTTTAAACAAACAAACCATTATTCAGACTACAATATAATTTTTACAGCAGCAGTGGTCAGTGATAATTGATGAGTTTTGTCATGAACTTGACAGACAATTCATACAGGACTTCGTACTCCAGTCTACATTCGTGTTTAAACAATGCAGACCTTGTGAAGGAAACGGTCCCCTCCACTCAGCATCTGTGAGGTCTCAGCTAGTTATCCTGCATTTCACTAAAGATAAGAGTTCTACAAGAAAAGATTAAACAGACATCTGTCAGGAATGATAGGGTTTTAATATTATGACAACCTTGGAGACTTGAAGTAAGGACTGTAAAGCCCATTAAATTTCCTTCTTTTTGCACACTTCTCCCCAAATAAGCCAAGTAAAGCTTGCTTGTTATCTTCCCTTTTGTACATACAAATTATGTCTAAGTCTGTGTACTGTGTAGTTGCATTTTCTTGACTTTTATTTAGTTAAGCTTATTTTGAGGGTTGATTTCTACCTTTTGATCTTTTTTGAAGAGAAATAAATAAATCAAAGTAATACTTGACCTTCAGTTTTTCATCTTTGAGGAAGACCTTTTTGACATTTTGGAACAGTTATTATTTATTAATACCTCTGTAATACCCTATCTTAAACTAAGAGTTGCTGTATTTCAGATCTATTTTAACTAGACTTGAAAAAACCCAACACAACCATATCATCATTAACTGAAATTTCAAAAAAGGACCAGTTAGGAAATGACTTGAACAGAAATTAAGGTTTGTCAGAAACTCACAGACATGAATCTGCCCCACGAATCAGTGTATACTGGGGGCCACCCAGCTGGAAAGCAGCTTGGCAGAAAAGGACCTGGGGGTCCTGGTGGACACCAAGTTGAACATGAGCCAACGGTGTGCCCTTGCAGCAAAGGCAGCTAATGGTCTCCTAGGCCATGTTAGGAGAAGTGTTGCCAGCAGGATGAGGGAGGTGATCTTTCCCCTCTACTCAGCATTGGTGAGACCACACCTGGAGTGCTGGATCCAGTTCCAGACTCTTCACTACAAGAGAGACATGGACATAGTGGACAGAGCCAAACAAAGGGCCATGAAGATGAATGAGGGACAGGAGCATTTCTCTTATGAGCTGGCACTGTTCAGCCTGGAAAAGAGAAGACTTGGAGGGGGTTTTATATATGTATATATACACACATATAAATACTTGAAGGCAGGGTGCAAAGAAGATGGAGCCAGGCTCTTGAGGTGCCCAGTGGCAAGACCAGAGGCAATGGGCACAAACTGAAACACAGGAGTTCCCTCCCAACACCACAAAACACTTTTACTGTGAGGGTGACAGAGCCCTGGAACAGGCTGTGGAGTCTCCATCCTTGGAGATATTCAGAAGTCCTCTGGACATCAGTCCTGGGCAGCTGACTCTTGGTAGCCCCTGTGTACCACCTGCTGGCTGGACCAGACAGCCTCCAGACGTCCCTTCCAACCTCAGTCCTTCAGTCATTCTATAGTCATGTGCCTCTGAATTCATTACAAAACCAATCATTTAGGGTATTTTCATTTTTCTTACGGTTTAGATTTCTAATATCTTTCTTAGAAAAATAGTGGAGGAAGGAAATTCTGGGAATAAAGCGTTCTGTTGTTAGTGTAAAATGACAGGAATTTTTTTTTTTTTTAACCAAAAAGTAAAATTTTTGAGTAGTTGTACTTAAAATAATTTTTTGTTTGCTATCTAGTATGTTAGCTACTTTGTTAGGAAAAAAACCCAGCAAATCAAAACACATCATAGTTGATCAGTATGAATCATGTGTTTAAAATATATTCTCTCTGTAAGTGCTGTTTCCCCCCCCCAAAAAAAACGGTGTTTGTAGGGACTCCCACCAAATACAAAAATTATGCATGAAGCAACCAGGAAAGTTTAACGGGACGGATTACATAATCACCTAGCTGAGCATGTTTTCACCATAAGTCATTTCCATCAGATTCTTCCTGTTGACATTTCAGAGAATACTTACCATGAGTACCAAGTTACAGAAAGGAAAACCCTTTCTAATGAATGTTGCTTAGGAAGAGATGAAGGGAGTTCTAACTGGGTAATTTTAAGGGAAGTACAATTGATTTTCTTCAAGGGTCAGTTTTCTTACCTGAAGCAGCAATAGCTAGAAAGGTTAATGGCAGAAAAAAATTGGTATCTAATTCTCATTATGGGGGATGCACCTGTCAGCAGTAATAAAAGCAGCAAATTGCAGCCTAAGATGTATTTTTAATAGATTGTCAAGTTTCACATTTTTAAACACATGAAAAACCTAAGGGAATAATTAAGACAAAATCCTGATGATTTAACTGACCTATATAACCTCTAAACTGCTACAAAACTGTGTCCTGTTTAGAAAGTATGCTCTGAGGCTTGTGGTTCAATACTTGAAACAGGCAAGCCAATCAGATCCCTGTGAGAACACATTTAATTAAATCAGTTATGAAACAGATGCAACATCTATGCAGGTATAGAGAGAACAGCACTCATGTACAAATATGGGAAAGATACCAACATGAATATTCATGCAAGGATGTTATTTTCCTTAGATGAACCTTAGATCTCTGTATTTCATCAAGGTTAATTAGTACAGCTTTCTTAAGTGATATGATAAGGATCAGTTGCCTTCTAATAAGAAAATTTACTGTACCTTTAAGAATTGCTCATAGAGTTGCTTAATGGTTTTCAGTCTCTGACTTTGAACTATTCTTGCCTGTTGAAAAACTTTTTGTTGCTGACGAAACATATTCTGAAGCAGAAGCAAAAGAAAAAATAATCACATTAGTTAACCAAAAGTGTTTGGACAGCAACACTAATGTCATTATCAGAATCAGAAATTCTGCCTTCACGGGAAATCTGGGTCACGTAATGTAGATCTCTGCCTGGAGAGTCATCCTTGTTCTTAGAAAGACTGAAGACTGGATTGAGCCCTGAGTCACCTCCTGAGGTCCCTTCCAACCTGAATTATCCCTATGAGATCCTACGAGGATCGCTGTCCAGTGTGGTTCTTATCCCACAGCAATGTGCTGCTTAGGGAAAAGCAAAACTTGCAAATATGTTGGGAGTACAAATACAGCAACATCATGTGATTACATTCCATTGTATAACTCCTATCCCCTTTCAAGAATCAAATTCTCATACATTTATTATATACAGGCATATTTTTAAGCAATACATGCTAAAAGACCACTACTTATCTTTACTCCTTTGTTCCTGAACCCAAAGAGTATGGATGCACTGACACAGCACACATCTTTCTTCTCCATAAATGGTCTTGGCTTTTCTCAAGCCATATGCTGGCCTAGGGCATCACTTATTGCCATTTATAAACTTGCAATAAAGTTTAAAAATGCACCCCCCTTCACTTTAAAATACATCCCAAAACTTAAACATTTACAGTTTGAGAGCCACCAAACTTGAATGATTTTTTTTTTTAATTGAGGCAAACAATCATATGTTTAAACTACCTAAAGTGTTTTTACATTTCTGAGTGTCTAAAAAACCAATATTCCCTCCTTGTGAAAATACTGTGAAACTCACACCATGCTGGAAACTCACCGCTAGTTTTTCTTCCTGCTCCTCTGCTTTCTGCACATCTACATCCCATTGCTGAAATAAAGTCAGGAACTGCTGGGAGAACTCATGATTGAGCTTCTGCCTAAAAACAGACACTAGCCTAAGTATGACAAATGCTACAAAGAATTACAAGGAAAGCTAAGTTTCAACACACACGTGGAATAGAATAAAAGGAGCTGGCATAGATACAGAAACAGGTTATTTTGACACCTGGCCCTGACTATGTTTTGAAAAACTGAACACGCATACATACAGACATGCTTTCTGAGGGAATGTGGATTATATACATAAAAGGAGACAGCACTCGTACAAAACTCAGGTTAAAAAACAAATTACAACTTTTCTTCTTAACAGTGTGAGGTTTTCTGAGATTTACTGTGTTTTTCTAACCCAGCTACAGATCTTGGCTTTAACACAAGGGGTTTATAATGAAAAATTTATTAGTTCATTCATTAGTTCGTTATGGTCTAGTTTCTCTATGTAAACTTAAATTTTGTCAATGCAAGTTTCAAATATATATATATAAAACCACCAAGGCAGTTAGAAGTATTGCTGACCTTCAGTTTTTAGCGGTTTCATTTTTCATTTTGCTCTACCTGTAGTATCAAATGTAGTAATTAAATATGCCTTAGGAGGTGAGAGGAATGTTATGTAGAGTGAAGGTTACTTACAATGTGAAAATGAAAATTATTTTCTTTCTTAACCAGAATGGTATAAAATTTTACTGAAAAGTTTTAAGTGAAGTAGAAACAGAAAATTCAAACTGAAGTGGAGAAAATAAAAAAATAGTTTAAAAGACAAAAATAACATCAAAGGTAATTTTCCATAAAGATAAAGCAAAGGTAATACCAGCTCTTTAAGGTACCTTGCTCTCAAAATTCCAAATCTTAAGTTTCTCCATTCAAAAGAGCACTATGCTAAACCATTAATGTCAGTTTAACCAAGTGGACACAACTGGAGGCAGCAGAAACAGAGGACCTGAGCAGACATTTAACTAGTAGATACAGTATGTGCTATTTAACTGTAAGAAGATGGATCAACTATCCATGCCGTGACACAAAAAGGAATTTGATTTCACAGGTTTGAAAAGCAAGGGTAAATGTTACCTTTGCTCCTGCTGTGTTTTCCAAACATGTTCAATCTTCTGGTTACTAGTTTTGAGCGAGGCTTTTGTATACATTTCTAATCTTTTCCTCTTAGCTAAGAGAGCCTTGTTAATGTCAGCTAAAAATCAAAGAATATTTAGAAATTAAGCATGTCGAGATTCATTGTGCTTTTTATTAAAAATGCTGATGAGTTACACTTTGGATAAGCAAATGAGGTGTGTTCTAACAAAAAGAAGCTAATGATCTGGGCTCCTAGCTGCTGGGTTTAGAGCGTCCCTCAACTTGGTGTCGGCATTGGTGTGAGTCCTGCTTCCCTAAGCTCACAATACACCCTGACACCTGGCCTCTGGAGTTGCAACTACTCATTGCCCAGCCCCACCAACTACTCTAGCATCTGCTTCAAGTCCCACCTTGCTTAGGGGCCTCAGTAGGTAGGCCCTATTTGAAGACCAAATATGACCAACCATGATGTAACTCGGCTTTAGCTGCTTTCATTCTGGGCAGGATGATAGTGGGTATGGTGTCAGACTGGCTCTGAGCAGACACGCAGAGTAAAGTGAAACTGTCCAGCAGTTTGAACTCAGGGTAGCTGCAGTGCTGCCATTAGTACATTTAAATCAGTTCCTTGCGCACTGTCATCATGTGTTCCCCTACTGATTATTATGGTCCAACTTCTAACGTATCCATACAATAAGCACACATATATGCTTGAAACTCTAGAAGCATTAGTGTTTCAGTTCGGAGTCAGTTCACACTGCATACCTTCAAACATTGTATTCGGACATCTCACAGTCTGTAAATTCTCCATTCAAAGCTAGAGACACCTTGCATAAACCTGTCTGATTACAGACCTCTTGCTTTTTTCTCTAGTATGTAATGATGTTTTAGTCACACCATCAAAATCCTCATTCCTTTAGCTGCATAACTTCAGTGCCAGTTCAGAGTTTCCAGACCTTCAAGGAATCTAGTTATCCTAACACTTTTTTTTTCCCCTACAAAACCCATACATTTCAGAGTAATACTCAAATTGCTTAGATTTCAGAAATAAAGGTAGTATGTGATTACTATGACTGTGAACATATTGAATGAATTACAAACTATTTTCAATACTTCAGAGAGAGTTGGTACTTTAGAAAAAGTATTTAAGTTAATATAAGTTAGTATGTTTGCTTCACTTTAATTTACATTTGGAGATTTAATAAACAAGTCACAGCTTAAGGTTAATCAGCAAGTTCTTTTCCTTCTCACTGTAGATTACAGGAAACGTGCCAAACCTCTCTGATTTGCTGAGTCATCTGCCTCTGCTAATGTCAAAGTTACTATTTTTGAGCAGATAGCATGCCTCACTCTGATCCATTCATTTTCCTTCCTTCTAGTTTTGAGTCTTTACTAACAAGCAATCCTAGCTTTTTAACATTGAAATCCTCCTCCTATCTAGATTGCTAGATCTACAATAGCATTCTAATATGTCCCTTAACAGCAAAGAAATCTTAATTCTTGGATTAAGGAATTCCCTGAACTCCTCTTTCACCTTAAGATTTACATGCAGGTAATGACTGTGTACACCATTTTCTTATACTTACAGTGAAAGTATTAAGTAGGTACTGAGTATGAAATACTGGCATTAAGATGGCATCCCTTCCTTCCACAGCTTTTTGATGCTTTGTTACACTGTGATGTGTAGTATAAATTCTTTACAAGTGAAATGTGTTTTTTCTCTAACCTGCCCAGCTATTTAGAATTCAGCTGGAAATTTAACTGAAAGTAAAGCCATCTGAGGATCTGATTATTACTAAACTAAATCCAACCAGGTGATGTGCATAAATCTCTCATCACTAGATGACTGGCATTACTTAGCCTCATTCTTTAGCTCTTCTAGAAACTTGTACTCTTCTTCCTGACTGCTGAAATTCTCTTTTCTACTCATTCCCTGTTTAGATTTCTGAAGGTGCAGAGTACAGACTACTCTCCAGCTCCTTCTGTATCACAACTACATCCTACTTCCAAAATTCCTTGTCTAGAATTAGAGCTATTTGTTCCGTTTAGCTGCTTATATTAACATTTACATTCCCCTAACTTCTCACTCGAGTCTTGCAATCCTCACTGTCTTCTACATCATTGTAACAAAAAATTGAGTAAGAACAACAGCTAACTCATATTGCCCCTTCTCTTTACAATATAATCATTACCTGTTAAACTTCATCTTAAAATTGGAATTGATAATCAAAAGCAATTGTGTATCTTTCCCTTTTTCCTTTGTAATTACCTACACTAATATTTACATCTCACTTTATATGCAGTTATTCCCTTCTCTTCTTTCCCTTTGCTCTACTTAGATATAACTTTTTTTCTGAAAACTGGCTTTTTTCAGAAAGGCTGAAAAATGCTACAACGACTGGTTATTTTATGTAAATCTTGAAAGTTATTTTATGGTAAGGAATTACTGCCAATTCTAAAACTTAAACATGAATTGTTTTTTAATTTATTAGAATGTAAACATACTTACCTCCAAATCTTTCCAGCATATTCTGTACTTCGCCCCTACAAAATAGTGTTTAAAATTTTTATTTGTCCATTTTCTGACTTTGGAATAAGATCTTTTGTATATGCTTAAAACTAATTTTATTCACATGCCTATTATTTGTAAGCAATGACAAAGCTGCTACTGTTCTACAAGATACAAAAATAACTCTCCTCCTGCAAGAGGTCTATTTTTTAGACTAATTTGCTGTTTTTTTTAAGAAAAATTACTAGAGTCTATTAACTTACTCCCCAATAGAAAAGGCAGTATTAAGAATTAAAGGGTCCTGAGGGAGGGAGGATGGTAAATAAAATTGATAGTTCCCTATACAAAAAGAAAACACAAAAGGTATTTGGAATATCAAATGAAAACAAATCCATGACAGTTAGCATGGCTGGCACAGTGAGAAAAATCCAAGACAAATAAAATCAGTTTTTACAACACTTTTAAGATGGTAACACCAGTGTGTAAAGCAGTGGTACTATAGCTGACAAGTCCAAAAAGGGACATGGTGGGTAAAGAAAATGTTTATCTTGTTTTTATATCATCTTCTCCACAAGACATCACTTTCTGTTTTGAAGAGTTAAAAAAAGCTATTTAAATAATACACTTTTTTACATTTACACTGCCCATAAATATTGAATTTCATAAGATTTATCTGTAAAAAAATTACTTTTCATGCAATAGTTGACTCATTTAAAGTACTGTTAATATCTTCAAGCAACTAAGATCAGAGGGAAAAAAATAATGAAATTATAAACAATTTAGGATAAATCTTAAATCATCTTTTGAAAGAAACAAAAAATTTAAGAACTTTCACAAATGGATCAATTTTTATGGATGTTCAAAAGTATCTACAAAGAAACCGCAGAATTACTCATTTTAAAATGTTACATTTTCCTTTTTTTACTTACAACCACTGTATTATCTGTCATCTGATTTTTTAATCAAATACTGGAAAAAAAAAAACCAAGCAAAACAAGCATAGTGAATAACTGGAATCAGTATCTATTTAAGACTTGCTTATTTTTGGGGGGAAAAAAAAAATCCTAACCTTACCCCACATCATCTGGAACCACATGAGTAGTCACCAAAGGTCTTTTCTTTCCATGCTTGTCTATTACTGGTGTTTCACCTTAATACACATTTCAAAAAGATTTACAAAGATATATTTTGTGGGGGGTCTTTTGAATCATTAAAAGTGTAATTACTTTTCTGTAATGCCATTTCTCTGAACATGTCTCACAGGTTTCAGTTCCCATCCATAACACATGCAGTTCCTAAAACTTTGAATCTGGAGTTGACAGATGGTGAATTATTCTGCAAAGCTAGATTTGAGCTGGCACTGCCTAGAGTTCCTCTAGACTAGTCTCAACCAGTTTAAGTTCCTCTGCCCACCACTACACAGTTACTCCCAACTAAATAATATAAAAAACCATCAGAAAGGTCAAAAATAATCTAAAAATTGAAAAAGCCCAATCTGTAAGAATTTCATTTTACTGTAAAGTAAGTACTGAAATTGTGTACTCTGACCTTTAAAAAAAGCAAAATCACAAATAGATATTTATATTCTTTCCAAAAAAATAAAAATCCTTGGCTGTCAGATTTCTATTAATGGGGGCAGGGTGGAGGGGAGGGAATTTAGTCTGAACAAATGAAGAAGGGGAGAAATTAAGAGAAACAAATCCAGAGATAACTGCTGGAAGACAAAAATCCAGAAATGGCATTACATCAAACTTAAAAAAAAAAACCCAACCAAACTATCATGTGATGAATGAGAACTGCATTTTTAAGCAAAATCCACTTTTTTTATGACACTCCCTCAAACAAGAAACCCTTGGTTGTCTACTTTTTCCCCTCAGCTTCCTCTGCTTCTTCCTCTATTTTATCTTCAGTTCAGATTCTTCCTGAAGTACTCAACGCTGCCAGCATTAAGACTCCGGCTACCCTACCTGACTCAGCACTCCATACAAACAAGCACAGCTCCTCTTCTATCCTGACCTCACAATGTTATATGCAGCCCCGTGATGGAAGGATATGGCATTAAAGTAACAAAATCATGTAACAATATCCTACTTTATTAGACTCCATCTATAATTTTAGGACACAATAGTGCACTATACAGAGCTATTGTGTTGTCTTCTCTTACCAATTAAAATGATAAAATAGGACACCAGCTGTCACAAACATTATGAACCATTCTTACTCTGACACTTGCTAATACGTGTCTTCATTTCTGTTCAGTCAGAAATATTATAAACTTCACTTTAAAAAAATTTAAAATCATATAAGCACCTTCTCTAATATCTTCCTCTGATCCACTCAGCTCTTTTCTTTCCTCCTGAAAGTCATAGGCAGGTATGGCTTGATCTTCCTCTTCTGGTTTACCAGCTTTTCCTGCATGCTTTCTTCTTGATGGTGCCATTATGAGATTTTCTTCCTACTGAAACAGTGTGTTGTACTTGTTTCCTAACTTTCCCCACAATACTTTGAAGATAAATATGTTTTCATGCTTACATTGACCTGTTACAGACACGCCTGTAACAGTCTCCACCTGTAAGGATATTCAAACTGGTTTAGTTTTGAGGTAATCCACAGGATTACCTATCAGAGGTGCTTCTAAAATCAGGGTAAAAAAAAAAACAAAACAAAGCTAGTAGGTACATACTTCATTCTGCTGAAAAACAAGGAAGTAAATTAGGAACCTTCTTAAGGTTCCTACCTGCTGGGCTTCCATAAAGCTTATTATGTATTTTGTCATATCCAGTATGGCATTCCCCAAAACTATGCCAATATTCTATTTTGCAAAATATAGCATTTATAAACCATAAAAGCACAGTCTGATTCTACAAGCCATCTCATGCTAGGCAGACAAATATACACACACGTATGCCATTTCTAAAAATCCTGGGCAACTTCCTGAATTACCTTTATTTTTAGCTATCATGCCTCTGCAGTCTGTAATCTAACTAATGCAGTTTCTGTATCTGTGTTTTACAAATAAAAAAAAAAGAGCAATATTCCTTATTTTAGTAAAGAGCAATATTCCTAATTTTTATATATTCTGTCTATTTTTATAAATATTTAAGAAGTAAAATATCTATTTAGAAGGAAAAGAGCATACTTGTAAATACATGAGTGCCAAAATAAAAGATTTTTTTCCTTAGCACTTTAGCAACAATAGAAATAAAATACAACAGGAAATAGGAAGCCACTGAATTGTTGTTGAAATATTTCTTCTTGTTACCTTTGTCTGATAGCAAGCAGTGTGAAGCATTTCAAGTTAAGTGTCATGACATATATTTTTAAAAATCCTTCAAAAAATAACAGGATTACTTGGAAGATGGAAAGAATAATAAAAAAAAAAAAATCAGCTGCAGGTACCCTGTTTTCCAAACTAAGCAACACATGACTCAGCAATGGATAAACTTCTCATTCTAGGCAGAATTCACAGCTAGAAACATCAATAGGTTTTCCACAAGCCAGGGCAAAGATAGATCTGAAAATTAAGTTCACACACTGAAATTGAGAACTGCAGTAAAGATCTTTTGAACTTCTAGGGCTGTGAAGTCCCTCCAACATTAACAGCTGTCTCTCACACCTCAGTTTACCATTTCTGTTTTATGAATTAGTTGTCAATAGCCATGAATTTTTTTTTTAACCATGTATTACATAGATATATACAATGTGATCACACTAAGCTACTAAGTAAGGAACACTTCTTTTTAATACCCAGCTTTTTCTGTGGTTGATGTTTCTCTATATAGTGTGAAGATTTTTAGACCTTACAAGTTTCTTTAAAAAGAAAAAAAAAAAACACAACACCCTGAAAACCCCTTTAAATTATTAACTGGAAAAACAAAAGCTCTTGCATTAAAATTATCCTCAAATGAGAGAAAAATTTCAAGACTCATTCTGCTTTTCAGCTACTGTGGCTGTTGAAAATGTGATTTAAAGGGTAAAGTACTGGTACAGCACCTGGCTGTGCATCTCTGTGCTGCTGAACAAAGCACTTCAACTGTAAACTGCAAGCATATTTTTTATCTCATATATTGGCACTTTTCTTTGTACTGAAAATCAGTATACAAAGCAGAACTCCTTCCATAGACTGTAAAACAATCTTGCCACCTCACAACCTCATACAGCCTTCACCCATCCTGTGTAGCTACCTGGTTTAGCCAAGTACCTTGAATCCGCAGTTATGTATTTAATAGTGATTTTTCAGAGAAATTCACCTCCTTTTTTTCCACCCTGTCCAAAAAGATGTGAAATAAACCAGTATTTGTGTAAGTCTCCCATGTGGGGCTTTTCACCAGGGGGGCCCACCTGTTTCTACCTCAGAGCAGCAAGGGAGACTTGGGTCCACACCACAGCCACAATAGGTTTTGAGGGGAACAGCCACAATAGTTTTTGGGGGGAAGCCACTGGGATGTCAAAGGCTGAGGCGCACCGCGGTGTCCTAACCCTGTTCCTCACTCTCCGCCCAACCACCTTTCATGCCTCTACCTCTGCCCTGCGATGGGCTCTTCTCGCTCACCGCCTCACCCCCGTGCAGTGCCCACCACGGCCACCACCTCACACAGAGGGGACCCACCAGCGGCGGGGAGCGAGGGCGCCTCACACAGGCGTGAGGGAACACCGCTTCGCCCGAAACCCCTCACCCCCGGCAGCACCACAGCCTCTGACAGCCTGACGCAGCAGACAGGGAGGACACGACGCGGTCCAGCCTCAGCAGCTGTCACCCGCGAGAAAAAGGCGGGAAGGCCACACACAGCCAGAGGGGCGCATGCGCAGTAACACAGCCCCCACAGGGCCCTCAGGAGCAGGACCCGCGGCCCAGGTCGGGCATGTTGTGCTGGCTCAGCATTAAACTCGTTTTAATCTCACCTGCCTTGTTTTGGTTTTCACTGGATGCTGCTCAGTAAGTTTATGCAACATCTTTTGGCTATTTTTGCTGAAGTTAAACAAAATGCCATGAACTTACCTTCGAAACTGCTTAACCAAAAATGAATGGCTGACAGCTGAGCTACCTATGCAAACTACTTGCACATAACTTCAGCA